TACTACATGCTCACTGTTGTTCGCCTCTGCACGGTTTATCTGGCAACGTCCATTAATGAATCTCAACCGAGAAGTTGATCGTTTGTTTGTTTGTCACGTCTGATTACGCCTCAACAACCTGTAGCTCTGACACCGCCGGTGACAAATCTTATGGCGCCTTGAATGCCTTGTTACGTCGGGATAAAAACAAAAATCGCATGGTTGCCGAAAACCTGAATACATACGTGTGAATCCATAGTGTATCTGGGATTGTACTCGGCACGTATGTACGTTGGCGAACGATCACTCCAGCTATGTGCTGACCGCAGACTGGTTTTATATAGCACAAGTTCTTATATAACCGAAGTCTTGTCACATGGTGTCCTCCAACAATGTGTCAGCCACGGACCATAATCGATCCCATTGCCATTGGTTGCCTATGGCGCAGGTCAATAACTAACTACTTTTGAACACTTATGTGGATACTGAACATGCATTCGTTCATAATCGCTTTTCTCGTTTTCTAGGGACGCGTAAAGGGTGGAAAAATCGCTAAGAAACCCGGAGGCTGACAGGTCTCTAAGTCGAACGAATTCACCAGGCGCGTCTTCTGGACTGTTTCAGCTAATCTGCTTTCGGATATCAATTCCTGCTGAAACGGAATCGCCGTGTCTATGTACAGCGTCGAGCACTTCGCCTGTGGCACGGGGCTACAGTTCCGCTCAAACATCGGATATTAAACAGAACAGTGGCACTGCTTAAATTTCGAAGACATGTATCCGCTAGTTCCGAACATAATTCATCCCAACGAATTTTCAGGTTTCTAGCCAAACTTAGGGTGGGTTCTGACTGTAAAGCCTGGTAAACACTCCGCATGCTAGAAGACCGTGTCTCGTTGAGGTCGTTTCACTCATCTGCGTGCTGTGTAGGAGAAGCTGAAGGGGGACAATCTATGGTCTGGTAAGGAAAACACTGACCAATAAACTCACTCGGGAGGAAAATTTCGGCCTTTTTGAGTAAGAACACCGCGTCTCGATTCATCACTTGTTCATGGCACTAAAAGAAATGGCTCGATCACGCACTAAGTGCGCTCGTGGACCTAAAAAATTGCTCAGTTTTCGGTGCCAAGCTGCCACGCCACCCGAAGGAAGCACAGAGGCTGGGATACTGTTAGTTTGTTTAAGGATAGACTCTGAAGTCGAGATGGAAGTGTCGGGTTCTAACCACGGACATTCCGGTCAATAAATTCGCATCAAACACACCGCCATCAATACGTAGCTCTCCAGTTTTCCGAACAAACTGATCATGCCGTTGTCTCCAACACTTGGCTCTGTCTCTCGCGCTTCCCCATTTTCCGGTAATCGACATTGGTAATACTATTCGTATAGTTGTAACACGATTCCGGTGCCTAGTCGCCATGCCACCTGAAGGAAGGAGGAGGGGTAAGGTATCTCCAGGCTGCCAAGCTGAAACGAATTCGTGACGCTGAGGTCCACGTTTGCCTTTTTCTTGATTCAAAAGCTGCCTTTAATACTGTCCATCGTCAGAATCAATAACAGTATATGGCGATCAAACGTGTTCCTTATGGGGGCACTGTGTGCGAACTCTTGTGGATGCATACTAGTATATTGGAGTCTTTCTCCTGAGTTCACCTCATCGCGTGGTGTAAGGCAAGGTCGCTTTTCTTTTACTTCTCTTCAACTTTGTCATTGATATGCTGCTTGGAATCTCTCTACCTGCTTCTGAAACCTCGAGGGTAGAAATTCTCCCGGTACGCTCGATCACTTACATTGAGTATGCAGACGATATTGCTTTCCTTGGTTCAGATCCTTCCTAAATGCAGACAATTTTAAATAACCTAAGTTACTCTGTCGCACGGTTTGACATGCGTTTCACACCTGAAAAGTGCTGCTACATGACTTGGCTTCAAACTTAAATGTCATGTTTGTAGACAAGCCAATCGACGTGGTCGATAAATCTGTTTATGTGGACAGTTACGGTGGACTGGTTGGAAGTGAGATTATTCATCAAGCCGGAAGAGCCAGGGAAGCTTTTTACAACCTCCGACATCTATGGCACCGACGTGATGCGAGTTTGTGTGTCAAGGACAGAGTTTATAGTGTGGCGTGGCCTGTACGCGCAGAGGACATACGGAAGGTGTCAGTTTTCGACCATAGATGTCCCCGAAGCATTGGTCAGGTTTGGTGGAAACATCAGATCAGTAATTTTAGTAATTGTGAGGTATGGCAGCTGGAAAAAGGAAAAAGGAACTCTTCCACAGCAGATGAATCACTCACACTTCATAGATTACGCTAATCAGGACATGTACTCCGCATGCCCGAAGACCATCTGCCTCTCAAAGCCCCTTTCGCCAAACCCTCTGTTGAGTGCAACCGACCGAGAGTTGTATGTCCTGGCAACGAAGTATGAAGACACTTAACAGTAAACTTATTCGGGTCGGCAACTGCTGCCTCCTTGGATTGGGACCACAGGACTCATCTAACTAATGTTTAATGAGTCTTGCAGAGATGACCCAACTGCGCAGTCAGTGCTCATATATGTCATTGGAGCAACGGCCGGCGATGATGAGTGTTCGGACATGTAGAAGTAACCACCCAAAAGTGTTCAGCTGTAGCACCACTCCCGTGCCAAACTGCGATGCCACTAGAAGGAATCACGGAGGCTGGGACACTGCCAGATCGCCCAAGCCTAGACAGGGGAAGTTAAGAGGCAGAGGTCGGGTTCGTACCACGGACCTTCCGGTCAGTAAATTCCAACTCCAACCGTTGAGCCACCTCGCTCCAGTAATCACCCAACCCCAATCGGACAACCTGGATCCAAGGTCAAAAGTGCGCTGTACATATCGTGATGCTCCTTGTGATTTTCGCAATTGCTTGTTCTCAATAGAGCTGTTGTGTTCCTTGTTGGCGAATCTTTTCCAGACACTAAGACAGTGGAGCGGGGAATGCGGTTGGTTACAACCTAACCGTTGCTAATGTTGGGTGGCATCAGCCCTCGTGCTTATTTGGGGTGGCATGACACCTACGCACAGAAGAGTTGTTACAGCTGAAAGGTTATTGGTTATGGTTGCATACTTTGGAAGAATTTGTGGTTATAAGGCGTCACTGCAAGCAAATGTTTACTGCCTATCTTGATGATGTTGATCAGATGAATGTCTCTGTTTCGGTGTGCCTGATTTTTAGGGGAATGTAGCTTATAAGCTACCCCCAAAACGACCTGATTCTGATCAAAGAAGCTATAGCCTTTGACTAATGTTTTGCACGGTGGTGTACACGGTGTTTGTGCTTGTACTGAAAGTCCTTGTCGACTAGAGTCACTATATATCACTTTCTGTTATCTGGATTGTGCGCGTCACTTCCGGATCTGCCATCAGACTATGCCTCAGTGTTATTGGTTGGTTTGTACGGTCTTGTCATTCGCAAGGTTAATGAAGTAGTGATAACGATCGTTCAGCTGTAACACCTTTTTGGCGCCTGGCCGCCATGCCATCCGAATGAAGCACGACGGCTGAAGTACTACAAGGTTACGCATGCCCAGACAGGAGCAGTCAATTGAAGCAAGCATGGCACATCGAAATGGATGTCATTTTTTCCATCGAGTGACCTGCCATGTATTGGAGCACTTTACAGACGAACGCACGTCAGAGCATGTGCCTAAACGCCAAACGGGAGCCACTTTTTCTTCGTCGTGCCGAGTTGGTCATAATTTAACCATACAGTGTACAGGTAACCCTTCACAGGAAATCACTGATGAACCCCTTTCAGCTCTTAGACTGACTCCATCTTCTACCCATATATACCGGGTAGGCAACCAGACACGAGGATACGAGGCAATACGCAGGTATACCTCGCAGATATACTATATATCACCAGTCCATACATGATTTATATGTGATAACGTTGTTAACCGCTTTGATATAAGACATGGACCCCGAAGATTTCTTCGTGGGCCGTGGACTTGACGTGGTCATCTGGTTTAAGTTTGCCATGTTTCTGCCGGCTACACTTCTTTCCCTAAGGTGCTGATAAATTGAATTGAATAGTGAAGTACGTCGCAGTGTTTTGGGAAGAAATAACTCGCTCATAGTAGATGAACTGATCACACTCCATAAGTTGCACCAGCTTGATCACGTGTTCCGTATGGCAGTTGACCGACTTCCTCGAATGGCCCTTTTTGCAAAACCACACAAAGGTTGGAAACGAGACTTGAGAGGTCAAACAATTACTTGGTAGCGAAGTGTGAAGGCAATTTGCAGGAAACTCAGTCGTGCAGGTCGTTGCCGTCTCCCTGGATATGGACCTCGATATGGGATACATTTTCAAGCCCGACCCACTTGCGCACTCAATGGCGGGTATGCGTTCAAGCTGTTGTCTTCAATGCATAGCTTCCCCTTCAGACCTAAGCAACGAGAAGTTCACTGATACATCTTTACTACCGCATCAATTATATCAGCTGTCACCTCAAATGCACTGTTATCCACGCTTACCTCACCAGATAATTGCCGAACGCAAGTGTGGGCTGTGGCCAATGTCCAATAAGTACGCGGGTTTTACAGCTGATAATGATGATGAGGCAAGCGTTTTGAGTCTTTTCGGGAGAGTATTTGATGACAGCTATCTGGTTCATCAAGATGTGCTCCAAAATTGAAAATGGAAGGAAAACGGCGATAAATGAAAAAGAGTGATATTCGTGTAGAGTTATTTGCCCTAATAACACTTATCTATGTCTTCTCAGGTTAACGAAACCAACCGATTCCGACCGCTTACGGTAAGTGCGCTGGAGATTTCATCTTTACACACGAGATCTGCCTTAGGTGTTTACTCCGGTGCCCGGCAGAATAATAGCTTCTGTCCATGTTTCGGGGCGCATATGTCCAGTTTTTGTGTATTGTGTAGTTTTCTGTCATTAGCTTAAAACTTTTCTACATATTTCAGCCGAACGATTGAATTTCCTGGCTGTATCACCGTGGTACTCCATCACGCACCTTATTCTCCGGTGCAATGACGTTTTTCTCTGGGGTTGCACAGAATCTGGGTGGCAATACTAACCTCACAACAAAAACGGGTATAGATGCCCAAAAGACAGCAGAAGTACAGTGTCCACCGTCAGATACAGTCTCTTGTCTTCGATTCAGCCCAGAAACTTTACAAACTACGTTTCTAGCTGCTACTAGCTGGGATAATCGTGTTCGTATATGGGAAGTTCAGGGTGATGGTAGCACCATACCAAAGGCGGAGCAAATGCACCAAGGTCCCGCTCTTAGTGCATGTTGGAGCAATGTGAGTCATTCGGACCTCCTTTTAATTCTTCGTCTCTAGGATGGTACTAAAGTGTTCAGTGTTTCAGCCGACAAGAGTGCGCATATGTGGGATCTGGGCTCCAACGCATTTACGCAGGTGGCTGCACATGATGCACCGGTGAAAACTGTTCATTTTATTGCGGCCCCCAACTATACATGCTTGATGACAGGCTCCTGGGACAAGCGCCTCAGGTATTTCGCTCAGGACTTCTTACTCAGTTGCTTAGCAGTAAATTTTTTGTTGTTCGTACATGTCCGTACAAATTTGCTTCGTTTCATTTCAGCGCAGGTTTTCATTTGCTGCTTTCGTGGCTAAGCTTGAGCGCTCCTTCTAAAGATACTGGCTCGCTTTTATGACGGCGACTCACCGTTGTTCAAAAGTTGTACCTCTGTCGGATATGGCCGTGTGGACTATATTCGTTCAACCATGCCTAGGGTTTCACTGAATGGAATTAGGTTACTGAAACAGTGTGCATTACTATATCTTTCAAGTTTTTTGAGATACTTAATTAGTCTCCAACCCACTCGGGATTTCATCACGAGACTAGTGGCGTTAACTTGACGCGTTAAATAAACCATCATTGTAGTTGACGAATGACTCACCACTCGCTTATTACTCAACACGATTTTAAAGATCTTTATTCTCCAACCACCAACCCAATCACCAACCCAGTCCCATTATCAACCTGATGTTCGGCTTCGGATGGGTCTTTCTCCCTTGGTATTAATGATGTGCATTTCTTACGTTCGATTTTCGTCTGAACGGATACCACGATCTGTCTGTTTTATGCGAATTCCGGTTCGTTTTTCGTGAGCTAATTGTACGTCTAAAACAGATCATACGTGACACTCACTGCAGTATTTATATACTATCCTGAGATAAACAAGCTTGAATCACTCGGAACGAGTACACGAGAAATCCCAGATAGCTGGCCCCTTGGAGAACGCGTGGGCTGGACTGCTAATTTTGAACTGGTTAAATTATAAACCCGTTTGTTTGTTACGGCAGTGAAGCATCAGTGGCAACACTAATGTGTTACGGCAGGAAGCATCAGTGGCAACACTAATGTTGCTGTCTTTGATGATGATGATTGTTAGACTGCCTAGTTGGTAAGGCTTTCTCACCATTTGTTTTGATATAGGTCTGGGGAATTTCAACATGTCCTGTTCACGTAACTAAAGGACGTGCTCCCCCAACTGCAGTTAGATTACACTCAGGATATGCATAGTTCTCTTAAGGGAAACTCCAATGAAGATTAGGAAACTTTCTTCCTCCGGTTAGTTTTTTTGCAGAGGCCTCTGTTTGGGATTTTCATACCAACTACAAAACGTCGTCACTGCATCAAGGTATATCTGAGAATATCACTTTCATTTCTTTAAAAAAATCAACAGTTTGTGCTTCGACGACGAAATGCCATTTCCTTCCTTGAATTCATCGGAACACATCCAATGAGCGTAAGGGGAGTCGGTCCTTTCACCCTGCGACTTAGACCAATCCAGCTTTTGTTGATAGTGTGAGGAAATTTGGCATGTCTTCGGTGTAGATTTCGTCCTGTAGGTGAGGCCAATCTATGCGAAAAAGTCGAGAGGCTCTGTAAACCTGTTTTGTCGTTATTTGGAATCATCAGCAGTACGCATCTCACGAAACTGCAGGTCAGCCGGCTACGAGTCCGAGGCTTTGACCGTTCGGCCACGAGCGGCTGGGTATTTAAGGGTTCAACCTCTCTGGAATCTTGACATCTACACCAAAATTCCAGCTTCTCTTTGCTTGATTGCACAACCAGTCTATCGATTACTAAGAGAGACGTACTCATGAGGCCGTGGGTCCGAAATTTTAACCGAATTTCCGTAAGAAAGACGTGATCTATTACCGAAAAGCTTGGTCACAGGAGGTTTAGTACCAAAATCTGCGTGTACAGCACCAGCTTCATTCGTCCTCGCCTGGGGATGTCAGATGTGGAGTTTTACTTCATCGACAAAGGCTAAATAGAAGTTATCCCAGCATTTACATTTAAATAATCGGAACTAGAGCCATTCGATTGACTGGTTTCCCTGAGGCTTAGAAAAATCGACCTTTGAACAATGTCTGCTTTATTTTGGAACGCAGTTGTCACACCCCTGATCTTATGCGGTGTATTACTATTGACGTTTTTGCTTTCTAAAAGAGAAAATTGCATTGAAAAACGGGAGAGCAAAATGGTCCAGTACTAAACTATGCCATTCGTATTGAACTTTCTGTTGCATATAAAATGGAATGCCAAGTAGGGACCTTATAAAGGATCACACCAAGCAGACAAAGGAAAAATGATATTGTTCAAATCGGGAATGAGTACGGGTTCGCGTAACACGTGGTTGTTACTTCCTTTGTTGCACGACCCAGTTTGGAGTGAACCGATTACACCAGAGCGTTTTATAAACAAACAACTACAATTTTATGCCGGTTCCCTCATACCTTTATTGCGCTGTTGGCGATCGACAGCTATTGTTTTTTGGTAACTTGTCTACTCCGAACTTCAAAGTAGTACGAATGTTCCATTGGTTGGCATTCCGCGTGTGTATCTTATAGTGCTGTATTGACGGGGTAATTTGTGCGGAAGTTTGAAAGACGTGTTTTCGCACTGTCCATGTGAAGTAACCATTCTTGAGTCTTGTTTTTGCGTAGATTTTGGGATTTGCGCCAGGCGACACCGATTCTCAATTTGGACTTGCCGGAGCGTGTGTACTGCGCTGATGTGCACTATCCACTCGCGCTAGTGGGTTTGGCTGGCCGTCATGTAATCGCATATAATTTGGAGAACGGTCCTACCGAATTCTCTCGTACTGAATCTCCTCTCAAATATCAAGTAATGCTGTTTCCATGTTGCTTATTTTTACTTGACATGGTATTGTCGTCGAACCGTACACTTTCACCCTTTGTTACTTGTGGTCTTAAAATATGCGATGTGTAGGATAGTGTTTGAAACCAATTTTTCCGACCCTTTTGACCACTGTTTTAGCCGTTTTGGAACAGCTTTTTAAAGTAGTTTATGGAAGGGTGGTGCTTGGTCTTATAGTAGCTCCTCTGTAGAGATGTCATCTTTTGGCATGCACCTTCGAAATGCAAAGGTTGCACGAGGGCTGGGATACTGCCAGGTTACTCAAGCCTAGAGAGGGGAAGTCGAGAGGCAGAAGTCGGGTTCGAACTACGAGCCTTCCGGTCAGTAACTTCGCATTTGGGCCATCTCGCCCCGCTTTTTTGGTGAGGCATGCCCTTCAGGATGTGGTCCTTGTGATCTCCATGTTATTTGCTGGAGACACTGCAAGAAATGGTGGCTGATCGTTTTCGGTGGCATTCGTGCTCTAACTTTGCTTCCTGATTGTCTGCTCGAGCGGTTGGAGTTGTAGACAGCTCAGAATGCTCGGGATGGGCGAACACGAGGTCCCCCTTCATCCACTATTTCATTTTGTTTTCGCCTTAAGGCTTTAGATGTGATTGCGTAAACTTCCTGGCTTCACGACAGTGAAGCCTTAGTTTCAACACTGATGTTGCTGTCTTTGATAATAATAATAATAATTATTATTATAATATGATAGTAAAGGGTATGATGTTTTGCGACAGCGGTCCAGTGGTAATAAGGAACGTTTAATTGGTTTAGTTTGCACACTGATACCGTCAGCTGAATGAACTGAAATCATGAAGAAGCACTCCGTTTCCTGAGAGAACGACTGCAATATTCATTCCGTCAACAATTGTGTGTTACCCGTCTGGTACATATTCAGGGTCCTTTAATTCGGCACATCCATTTTCTTTGAAGCTCTCTGAAACTGGCTTTATCAGGTCCCGTGTCTCTAGGTTATTCTAGCATAATATAGATCGGTGGTCAAGGCGCGGGGCTGTTGACCGAAAAGATTGTGGTCAAACCCAACCTGCCAAGGCTTGGGAAGTATCTGTTCTTTTGTGAATCTGGTTTCATTTGTTTATATTTTAGTCGTAATTTTCAAGCTTTGTTCTTCATAATAAAGGCGTTTGCTTTGTTGTACCCGTATATCATAACCCTCGTCCATCTTCAGTTTTCTTGATACTTATCTTTCTTTCCCTGGAAGATCTATCGTTCATACGTTCGCTCGCGTTCTGATTTCTCAGAAAATATACTGATGGGAAACGGGGCTAATCAATACAGTGTTGGTAATTTTGTTTAACTCTGTCTGGCACATTTGTTCCTTTACGGTACGACTATCCGGAGTTTGTAGACCGAATCGGTTTCAATCGTAGCACGCTCAGCTGATCCAATCCACAAAACTGTGAACTTGTGTTTGAAGTGTAATAAACAAGTCATTTTAGGTCCCTGTCTTTAAGGCCTGTGCATAATCTCTCTTCTCACCACCAGAGTCGCTGCATTTCCATTTTCCTCAATCAACAAACCAAACAACCCTCCGGCTTTGCTCTTGGTAGTACTGAGGGTCGAGTAGCCATCCAGTATTTGAATCCGACGACTACCAAGGACAATTTTACATTCAAATGCCATCGCTCCAGTGCACCTGTCAACGGCTATCATGAGATTTATGCGGTAAGTTGTAACACTTTTTTGGATAAGAAGTAGATTCTGAACCCGGAATGGGTGTTAGTGGTCGTTTATCACTTACAAACGCATTGATAACAAACAACACATAAACAACAAAAGACCAAGTAGAATGCTGAGGGACATCAAGTAGTTAAGGTTGCTTTGTATAGTCAGCAGACAGCGGAAAGCGGGGTGATTAGATGCGTGCGATGGAGAGCATCGGTATACGGATTGTTTGAATGATATGGATCTGGGTGAATATGGGGATAGATATGACAGACAATGGACAACACTGCCTAGGCTTGTGGGATGAGGAGGTCATCTGGCCGCTAGAAATGGTGGAACTGTCACACTCCCTCATGCTCCATTTCGAGTTCGGTAACGGTTGACAATGATAGTCTTCCTTGACCCTAGTACGCTTACGCCTGGTGGTCGTTAAGCGCTTCAGGTACACTCCCACTGAATGAACTAGTCAGGAAGTTGTTCGACCCATGATATTGCTTATCGTCCCTGTCTCTGTCTAGTTTTCTTCTCGGCTTCACCTCAGTCATCTCACATTTTCTTGGCTTTTTCTGGCTCCCGTTTAAACTGACAATGTACTAAGAAGCTAAATACCTCAACAAACGTTTATTTACGGACACGTTCTAACCGGTACAGCGGTGGTTTATGTATCATCTGGATTCGGAACCGCAATGCAATACCTAATCACCAGTCAGTTTCGCGCATTCCTTTGGGAAACCTATGCTTCTGGCGGGGAAGTAAACTTAAACCGGCCGTTCTCCTTCATGGATTGATAAGAAACTATCTGTTTCGACCTGTTATTGCACACATTTTTAGGCCATCTATGGTGACTGTGAACGGTTCGGCAGTTTGTTGCTGATTCGCGTCCCGAAGTTGCTCTGTCTTACCTTTTGAGCACGTGTTTCTTCCTGGTCCGCTTGGCAGTGATCTGACTGCTGTTGACCCTAACTTCTGCTTTGTCCCTCAATGAAAAACACGTTTGATTCCTTTGTTCCCCTGGTGCGGAAGACAGAATGTTTCCAGCCAACTGGAAGGTCACCGTCAGCTAAACATATTGAGCAATATTCTAGGAGTATAAGTGACTTGAATTAACCGTACTACGAGTGACCGAAATCCGAATATCATAGAGGCACACAGTACAAGTCAGACAGAACTGACCAACCTTCACTAGAACTATGGGAATGTGCTTCTTATGCACATGGGTTTCCTTACAATCCACATCCAAGCAATCTCAAATCATTATTATCCTCTTTCTGACTAGCAGCAGAACTGTTATTCAAACTGTCGCAGCTCAGAACGGTTCAGCCCCACCACCCTTTCGGTGCCTATCTGTCATACCACCCGAAGGAAGCACGAGGGCCGAGATATTGCTAGGTTGCTTAAGGCTGTCGATATGTAGGGGTCGGATTCGAATCATGAACTTTCCGGTCAGTAAGTTCTCAGCTTAACTGCTGAGGCATCTCGAACTCTCAGGTCAGAATGTAACGATTCGTAAATTTTGTATGAGTTCACTGGTGAGTTATAATTAGTTTCCACTCCTAAAAAGAGAACTTTGAACACCGTGATTCCGTTCCTTGTGACAAAGTTGACGTTAATCGGAGAATAAGGGCAACGGCGCTTCTGACCAAGAATACATGAATGGAGGGCGAAGATCTGTTTGCGGGTGGTCATCGACTGCCCTACTACATATAATGTCTGAATACAAAACCCGAGAGACAAACCCATTACAGTGGGGCGTTCACTTAGTCTCACTTAAGTGTTGCCACAAGAGTCAAAAACTGTTTGCTCACATGAACTCACGGCTGACGTACACCTCGATCACATATTCATTACATCCTGACACAAGAGCCAGTTTAGTCAGAGTGCCTTATCTGATGTTGTCTGTTTGTAAATGATGGAGCCTGTAGCTTTATGCAAATGACCCCATTCATCTCCAGAGTACGTCTACGCACAGCTTTGACAGTGCATACCAGTAGGCCACGTTGAAGACTTTCGTATTAGTCTTCTGGCCAGTGTTCACTAAATGAACAATCAGGATACTTCTGCAAGGTCCTAGGTTTTATGGTGAACGGTGTGGGCAGTGTCCCTTCAGGCAGATGGAAGCTTTTTGAGTCGTTCCACCGCTGTATGATGCATTACAAGCAATTGTGTATCAGTACCTAACCATCGTCAGCCTCGACAGCTTATCCTTGTGGTTTTCGGGAACGACCGGTCGGCTCGTAGAGTTGTAATCGGGCGACTTTGGCTGTGTTTTTGACGACACTGTTTAGTCACCCACCCAGAACCTCTGCTGGTGCATCTCGTTCTCACAGTAAAGGAAGGAACGGGCTCTGCTTTTCGCTGTTAGGCTCGATGGTTGATGAGATTTTTTTTGAGATTTATATCTACAAAGGGGTCTGAGCAACCCGTCTCCTGTGGCATACCCATCTAGCTCGCTTTTGTAGTGCACTAGCTCTTGTTTCCAGTCACGGAATTAATTTTTCCCGTGTTGAGGATACAAAGTCGTGGAAGTTGATAAGCCGATAATTTCAAATTAGTTTGTGATATACTCTTCTCCACAGCATGGCATTTGGTTGCATGTGGTTTTTCGGCAAAGTGTGCTGTTGAGAAGGACTAGTGAACTAGCCAAGTCATCATTAAAAGCAGCGACTTTTAAATTTTATCTGTAGTAGGCTATTTGATGATCATTCTCAAACACTTGTTCGCCTCCATTCGTTTGTTGCTGGTCAGACTATGGGTATTTTCTGAATGGTGGGGTGGAGTTTCTCCCCAACTTTTTGCCTACTTGCATTAGATGAAGTAGTACTTTTAGACTTGTTATGCCTGTTGCACTTCCCTTATGTCGCACTTAAGTCACAAAATAGCGTGATTCGTCCAGTTGTTCTCGTAAAGTGCTGATACGTTTGGCGACATCTTGTATACCATTCAGGTATGTATGAAATGCTTTTGTCGATAGTTCGTTGTCTGGAATCGCAGCTCTAAATTTAGTCACGCAATCAAGCATACTCCGGTGAGACTCCTGACTCAAGGCAGAAGGCATATCATCAGTTACATTCTCACTGCGATGACGAGAGAAACATACCATAAAGGTTTGCTCGAATAACTTGAAAGAGCATGGGTTGAGCTTGATTGCCAAGCTTAAACAACCAATGAAACGCTACACAATACCCAGGCGTTATTGAGTGGGATAACGCAGTATGGTCTTGCTATTCGCAATATTGTAACATATGCTGCGTAACTCAGTGGTGACAACCCCATACCCGATCACAGGTATACGCACCAGACGCCGTAACATTTGCTAGCACTCACCCTGCCAGTGTCATCGGGATAAGTTCAGTGAGGTTGAATCAGAATGACCGCAGAACTGACGGTTCGACTTTGGTCCTGTATATGCCCGTCTTAGTAACGCGCTTAAATTCCTTGAGAGCTTATTTGGAGATCCACCTGTTGAGTTCCTTTTAAACCTAATCGGATTTGACAGATTCCTTGGTAGCCTTGCAAAATCCATTTCTTAATGGGGAAATGTATGGTATGTAAAGCACCGTGAACAGCGGTTTTCCGAAGACAAGGCTCTACGAAGAAAACGAAAACCTTGTGAACGGAAACCTAGCAGATAACAACAATTATTACTTGGACAGAATTTAACTAGAGCGACTCTACACCATATGAACTTGTCCATTAGACAAATGTTTTCATGCCATTGGGCACGTTTTTTTTTAGTACAAGTTGTTCTACAACCTATATTTAAGTTGATTTTATCTTGTCATCAATTGTCAACCAAAACTTGTTATTCATATTCTTCATGTATGATTTGAAGATGTTCCAGTAAATAAAGTCCATCTGAACAGTTGATGATGCCGCACTTCTAGCGTTGCTTTTGATTTGCCGTTTGAAGTGGTCTTTTTGTCTGCATTATGCAATTCAGTAGCTAACATCCTGCGCTGTTCACACCATTCCACATTGTCGACTTGTTGGGTTTTCACATTCCAAGCGACTTCTGAAGAGACCATTCCAACAATTTTTCGTGCTGATATCCAGTTTCGTTAGGCAGTAGTGGAACTACCTCTCTGGGCATGTACGAAGCTAAAACGTATTTCAACCAAAGCTACAGAATCAAGGGGAAGTAGTGCGAAGACCAGTAAAGCATAGATTCGTTTCTTTCCGAAACGATTATGGTCTTGAGTATACTTCAGTTGGCGTATTTATCCTCGATTCATCTCCCCGCTGTCTGTCAACCTTGCTAATTGGTTTTAAGCCGTACGTGTTTGACTTCAAACAATCTCTCGGTAACTAAAGCTTCCTTGTGTTCTTGTTGTTCACTCCCACGCTATTCTTCGTCCCACAGGTAAATGACATGGCATTTCATCCGGTACATGGAACTTTGGCCACCGTTGGTTCGGATGGTTACTACTCCTTCTGGGACAAAGACGCTCGAACTAAACTGAGGTCATCTGAGTCTCCCGATCAACCACTCACGTGTTGCGTGTTTGATCCCAAAGGACAGGTTTTCTGCTATGCATCGGGCTACGATTGGTCTAAAGGGCACCAGTTTGCTGACCCGTCTAAGCCGAGCAAAATTATGATGCGCTTGTGTATGGAAGAAATGGCACCAAGTCGGAAATCCTAAACCCCGGTTTTTGTGTTCCACAAGATGACTCTTCTCTGTACTCGTTTTGAATACATACTGTACAGCTATGATATTCGTCTCCTTCTTCGTCTCACTGGTGACAATGGTGTTGACTTCCGTCGACACATTTATATTTTGCGGCAGGAAGTAGTGAAAACAGTTGTAGGAAGCCTGTCGGCAACTCAGCAACTTTCAAGATTGTGATAAAAAAGTGTCTATTCGGTGACTTCATGCATAGGAACTGCATTCCCAGGATGTGACGTCGCTGCCTGGAAGAAACGAAGGGCGAACCCTTTGGGCTGCCTATCGGCATACATTTTATAACCGGCAGACTGAAATGAACTACTCGTCGTGTTTCTTGTGTTTGGCGAAAAACACAAGGGCAGGTGTGAGACACTGCTGCTGAACGGAGCTATCACGAGAGCAAGTATTATGACGACTAACTTGTATTATCCGCTGCGCTCTGTCACACCAGACTAGGCGGGGGTAGGCCTTTGAAAGTTATGAGTGGTATCCATCATCCCCTAGACCGCTCTGATTCAATATTTTTCGCACGGTTATCTGTTACCAGAAACCTTGTGTGTGTTTCCCGAGCAAGCACACTTTATAGATGGGTTAGGCGATATGTCTCAATTCCTCTCGGTCGATAAACCTTATTTTATGGCATGGTAACATTTTCAGGCAACCGTTCTGGCGAACTTCTGCCTGATAGTCAATCTATCCATGGGGCAACACTTTTGGAGAAGCATCGCGTTAACGTATCATGCTAATATCTCTAATTTACAGTACGGTCTCCTTGCAGACATGGGCGGAGCACTGGTTTCACTGTAACGAGCACAAAGGTTTGTGATGGTTTGTTGTAAAACCTGTTTGAAGCACTTTAATCCTTGATATTCAAATTTAGTGAACAGAAAGTATGGACCGCTTCGGTTATGCTAATCAGCAGTAGATAATTAGCCCTAGATTGGCAGGTATTATCGTTTGGGAGAATGGGATCAATCAGTTTCTGTTGGTTTGTAGCCGCAGCTCTCTCACTGGTTGCCCTGGGTCTGTATTCTCCGACCGGCTGTTTAGACGTCGAGTCTCGTATAACGTCTGATGACATTCTCTCCCGATGCCATGTAGATTACATGTATGCGACAAGGATAGTTCCTTCCCGATTCCGTGTTCTGACCATGCCGTCTGAAGTTTAGCTTGATAGTACGCATGCTTTCGCATTGTGACCACCAAGTAACCAGTTGGTGTTTCCGATGATAGTGATTGTCACAGTGGTGAGTACGTACACGGAATTAGTAAGATAGTACATCTATCTGTCTTCCATCGTCACTGCTTATGTGACACGTGTTGCGGTTAACAACATTCACCATTGTGCTATCTCCAGTTGGATCACGGATTATCGGTTCAATTCATACGATGTTCGTGTCAGCTGATATACGTCCTCTAATTTTACCCTTTATTAATGGCCAGTTTAGTCACCTGTTATTGACAGTAGATGCACAGACCGGTCTCATTTTTTTATCATCGAAGACGTCTTTCATACTGTTCGAGACTACTCAATGAAACTTCACACAGCTTAGAGGACAAAGTTGCCAAAATTGTAGACTGTCCCTTGTGTCCTACATTCACGCTCGTCTCAGGGTTCAGAAGCTGTTTATGTATGAGGCCAAATTACATTTTAGGCCTTAACAGGTATTTATCAACGGTGCATACTGGTCCAAAGGCTTGAAAACTGATGATTTCTTGTGCAGCGGCGTTCCACCATCCTACAGCAGTGAGATAACGAATCCAATTGGGAGATCAGATTTGGTAACAAACCTCGGGATAAGGGCCTGAGACGTCCACAGCCTGAGAACATACAGTGCTCTTAGTCGGACTTTGATAAAAGGTGGCTTGAACGTGAGGACCTACCTGAGATGGTTATCTCGACTGCTTCATCTTGAAAGACCGGGGAATGCCCGTATTATTGATAGGGAGGGGTGAAAGGTTAAAGATTTCATCGTGAAATTGATTTCCTCTTATAGGGAAAAATGTCAGCTCAAAACTTCAGAACATTGAGTAGCAGGAAGCATTCCTGAGACTAACCCCCGAAGACCTCAAGCTGGGCCTGCATATTCATGTGGGCTTCAGAGGTATCAGATACATAGTTGACAGTACACCATCAGGGAAGTTACTCTATACTGAGCAGAACCACGGTCAGCAAAATGATCGAAAGCTGGAGGATACGGTTGTTTTTACAGTCTTATCAGTGAAACAATGTGGCTATTTTGTCCGGTAGCAGTAGACGGCTCTTCTGCTTGCTTCTCCGTCTGCATCAAAACTCGACGGACAGTTTGGTCCAATCAGTTGGTCTGACAAAGCTCCATTATCAATAACGATACGCTGCCCAGCAATAAACCTAACAAGTACCCTTCTAACTTTTCTGAAACTCCAACCTCCCAAAGAAGTTCTATGCGTTCTCCAGCTGACTAAACTACAAGAAATATCTAGCTCCATAACCCCCAACTAGTTGCTATCCTTCGTCATGCCACCGGGAGTTAGTGAGGTAGTGAGCCTGATAGTAATCCCTTTGTTGTTTTTCGTCTCGTGCTTGGTTTAGTTGAGTCTTTTTCACTATTAAGGCCAGCGTTGAGGTCGTTCTTCGTAATGCGTGTGAGTTGTTTGCTCCAGTAGAGGACTTGTAAAGACAACCCAGTCGACAAAGCACATGATATCTGAAGAGAGAAAGACTTACAATTTATCGCCTCCCCAAACAGCCATAATGTGTTGTGAGTAAATGTTGAAAGCGCGCAGGGCGTCCGCCTGCCTTGCGAACTTTAAGTTCCCCTCCGATTGTATTAGTTAGGTCAAATTTCTGAAAATACTCCCAAAATGCCCGAAACCCACGAGATACTTAACGTCACGAAAATCACGGTAAGTAAGCCGCCAAACATCGAAACCGAAAATTCCAGCTTCAGATTAAACGCCCAAGCAGTCAATCAGTTCAGCAACGGCTGATGGTGACCCCACAGAAGCACATACAACAATGGTGAGTGTTCACGTATTTGACAGAAAGAGGGCGGACGATGATGGGTGTTCGTCCAACACCGATCGGACAGCCTGTTTCAAGGTCGGAAGTGCGTTTTAAATGCTGCCAGGCCTCCTGTAACTTTTGGATCCAGTTGTGCGCAACAGAGCTGTCGTGTTCCTTGTTGGCGGGTCTTTTTCTGACACCAAGGTACTGTAACGAGGACAGCAGTTAGCTACAACAGACTATCTTATTAATTTTGACCTTTTCGGACAGAGCGGTTGATAGCAGTGCCTCTCAAGTAAAGTGGTAGCCCACTATGTGCACTGCTTTAACCGATGAGAATACTCCTGAAGAACACACCATCCCTCCAAACCCGGAATGGGAATTTTAACTGGAAAATACGTCCTCTGTGGCTCTCCAAAAAGTAGAGTGTAGGAGAAACTAGCAGGCTTAAGTAGGTGGAAGTGGGACTTCTATTAAACATTAGTTGATCTTTTATACTCAGAACACAAGCGATAAAAACGGAGCTTGGTTTGTTGAGGAAAATCTTAACAACAAGCGCTTTATATCAAGGTGAGTAAAATATTGCAGATAGCCAGTAAACAGCTACGGATAATTTAGGCACACTAATGTCACAGTGACGAATATCCGGGTAGCAGTTTTGAAGATCCTGCTCGTGTAAGACTTTTAGCTGTATGGTTCAGTTGTGTACTGGCACACCTCAGGGGTGTGACACGTTTCATTTGCTGGTAAATTTGAGGGTAAACTATCCAGTGGGATCGAAATATCAAAAATCTGGTACACTTGAGGGGTAGCAGTTTCGACAGACTTGGGAGTTCTCGTTTCCTGCACCTACACAGGTTTCCTAGTTTTGGAATAAGTGAAGCAGTGTTCTTCACTTGCTCCATCCTTATGGATTGCGTTTGTGAAGCACTACTGAGAGCTGGGGTTCGGTCAACCGTACTGTCAATGGCAATTTCCTCTCCGAGCCGAATAGGATGCATGCCCATTCGGGCGAACCGGTAAGACGTATGACTACCATTGCATTTATTGAAAATGTCACGTTCCGCGGTTATCTCTGCTTGTATCAATTTCTGACACCGCACTTAGACATACTTATGTGCTGTCCTCAGTAAAGATGGGTATCATAGTTCGACTGTCGTCGCACACGTACCCTACACAGTGACTAAATTTTGCATTCAGCTTCGTGAGAACCTGACTGATGTAGAACACACTAATTCCTTTCGTACACAGCCTGTCGACCTCTTCACCTGAGTAATCAGGCACCAGTAAGCACGATTTCGTATACTAATTTGATCGTTTTAGCTTCCATAGCTGGAAAACACATGTTGGATATGAGTTTCAACCATCCAGTTTTAACTGTCAACATGGGTCGACTGTCGTCTTTAAACGAGTTGCGTATGTTTTTTATCAGTGTTGCCTTCAGAAGAAGTCACGCAAGTTAAGGGCGCACCAGTTAGCTCAAATGTCTCGGTGTGAACAGCGTGATTTTTCAAACGGCCAACGTGGTTGATTACATGCGTCTAAGCATGCGTCAAGCAAATTACCCCTGGTACTCATCTGCACACCCTGAAGTTATCCACCAGATGCCTCAAACAGCTGTTCACGGCCTCCATACTCAGTGGCCCACTATCATCTAGTCTATTCTCTCTGGATTACTGAAGATCACCATGTTTCCTTTGCTGAACACAGCAGTAGGCCATACCCCATCTTGACTACACCAAATATGCCTCTAAAACATATTCGTATTCGTCCTAAGCATGATCTGATTTATTCCAGCACTCATAAAGCAGTCTTCTTCCAAAGCCCGAGGTTCGTGGACATTGTCAGATATTTGGGACACTGACAGTGGAAGTCGGTAAATTCAACCGAACCTAAAAATACCCCGGCGCTATGTTTGGCTGACTTTATTCCCACATATTTGGAGAAGTCTTTAGAACCTAGCCTTCTGTCACGCTTTTACGCACCAGGTTGCTGGTTACTTCATCGTGGTTAGGACTTCCAACAGACCGAGT